AAGGCATGAGCCACCACATATCTCAACCTTTTAAAAGATATTTTAAAGCTGGGCGCAGTGGCTCACAAGGTGGGAGGATTGCTTTAGCTCATGAGTTAGAGACCAGCCTGAGCCAGAGCGACACCCCGCCTCTAAAAATAGCTGGACATTGTGGTGGAAGCCTGTGGTCCCAACTACTTGGGAGGCTAAGGTAAGAGGATCACTTGAACCCAAGAGTTTGAGGTTGCTGTGGGCTATGACACCATAGCACTTTACCAAGGATGACAAAGTGAGATTCTTTTTTTTTTTGGCTGGGGCTGGGTTTAAACCCTCCACCTCCGGAATATGGGACTGGCGCCCTACCCTTTTGAGCCACAGGCACCACCCCAAAGTGAGATTCTGTCTCAAAATATATATAATATTTGTAACAATAGTAAGTACTATTATTATTACCATTTTACAGATGAGAAAACTGAAGCATAGTAAGAATTTTATTTGCCTAGTATTATACAGCTGGTAAGTATGGGGTGAAAATAAAATTTATACACAGGTAGTTTGATTACATAGCCCACTCATTTATGCTACATAGATTCAGGAATGAGGTGATATAGTGTGACTGGTGCCATTATTCCCAAACTCTGTGCCAAGGTACAAACTCACAGGGATACCGTGAAATATTTTTTTTTTTCAAGTCAGAGCCTCAACTGTCCCCCTGGGTAGAGGGCCATTGCATCAGAGCTCACAGCAACTTCCAACTCCTGGGCTCAAACAAGTCTCATGCCTCTGCCTCCCATAACGCCTGGCTATTTTTTTTTGGTTGCAGTCATCATTGTTGTTTGGCGGGCCCAGGCTGGATTCAAACCCACCATCTTAGGTGTACGTGGCTGGCGCCTTAGACACTTAAGCCACAGGCGCCGAGCCACCATGGGATATTTTTAAATTTGAAAGGAAACACAGCAGTATTTGATATTTCTTATACACTGAATGAAGTATAAGCTTGGTAATTCATGGGGAGGGGTGGCATGTGACATGTGCCAATAGTTTCAGGTACCCAGGAGCCTGAGGTAGTAGTATCATTTGAGCCCAGGAGTTGGAGGTTCCAGTGAGCTATGCTGACTTCCCTCTAGCCTACACAACAGAGTAAGTCTCTGTATTAAAAAAAAAAAAAATCAGCAAATGAGGGTAGCAGTGTTGAATTTTAAGCTTTGAGATATTGTGCAGTGCCCAACAAGTGCACATATCCCATTACTAAGTATTTATAGTTAAGAATAAAATGTTTTAGCCGAGTGTTGTGGTGGACGCCTGTAGTCCCAGCTACTTGGGAGAGTGAGGCAGGAGAATCGTCTAAGCCCAGGAGTTGGAGGTTATTGTGAGCTGTGACTCCACAGCACTCTACCAAGGGCAATAAAGTGAGACTCTGTCTCTTAAAAAAAAAAAAAAAAAAGAATAAAATATTTTTTCCTTTTTTTTTTTGTGACAAGGTCTTGCCACAAGATAAAGATGTGGTCTGAGGAAGTCTGCTGGTCTAATAGGGCAGACTCTTCTCAGGTACCCTGAGCAATTCAGGATTAAATAAATTGAGAAAGGGGGTTCAAGTTATTGGTTGGTTATTGAACTAGAATCCGAGTAAATATGTCTTAAAGTTCTAAAGGTTATTTATTCATTTATTTTTGAGACAGTGTTGCACTATGTAGCCCTGGGAGAGTGCTGTAGTATCATAGCTCACAGCAACCTCAAACTCTTGGGCTTAGGCAATTCTCTTGTCTCAGCCTCCCAAGTAGCTGGGACAACAGGTGCCCACCACAATGCCCGGCTATTTTTTTGTTGCAGTTGTCATTGTTGTTTAGCTAGCCAGGGCCAGTTTGAACCCCAGAGACCAGTGTATGTGGCTGGCGCAGTAACCACTGTGAGCCCATTGAAGTTCTAAAGGTTATTGTTGGGGGCCGGGCGCAGTGGTGCATGCCTGTAATCCTACCACTCCGGAAGGCTGATGGATTGCTTGAGCTCAGGAGTTGGAGACCAGCCTGATCAAGAGTGAGACCCTGTCTCTACTACAAATAGAAACACCAGCCAGAGTATAGTGGCTCATGCCTCTACTTTAAGCTCCTCAGGGGGCTGAGGCAAGAAGATTGATCAAATCCAAGAGTTTGAAGTTGCTGTGAGCTATGATGATTCCAGGGCACTCTACCCAGGATGACAGAGTGAGACTCCATCTATAAATATAAGTAAATAAATAAATAAATATATGTATGTATGTATAGTTAGGTAAGCCTAAGGGCATGCAGTTGACAGGACAGGGGGCAACAGTAAGGCCATGTAGTCAAAGGAGGTGGGTTGTGACCAATAAGAATAGGGAAAAAGGCGGCGCCTGTGCTCATTGGGTAGGGCACCGGCCACATACATTGAACCTAGTGGGTTCGAACCCAGGCCAGACCAGCTAAAACAACAATGACAACTGCAACCAAAACAAAACAAAACAACCCCCCCCTAAAAAACAGCCAGGCGTTGTGTCGGATGCCTGTAGTCCCAGCTACTTGGGAGGCTGAGGAAAGAGAATTGCTTAAGTCCAAGAATTTGAGGTTGTTGTGAGCTGTGATGCTATGGTACTCTACCCAGGGCAGCAGCTTGAGACTCTGTTTCTTTTTTTTTTTTTTTTGAGACAGAGCCTCAAGCTGTCCCTCTGGGTAGAGTGCCATGGCATCACGCTCACAGCAACCTCCAACTCCTGGGCTCAAGCGAGTCTCCTGCCTCCGTCTCCCAAGTAGCTGGGACCACAGGCGCCCGCCACAACGCCCGGCCATTTTTTGGTTGCAGCCGTCATTGTTGTTTGGCAGGCCCGGGCTGGGGATTTGAACCCGCCACCTTAGGTGTATGTGGCTGGCGCCTTAGCCGCTTGAGCCACAGGCGCCAAGCCGAGACTCTGTTTCAAAAAAAAAAAAAAAATAGAGAAAAAACCACAGCTGTAGTAACTTGGGGTTAACAAACTTTCCACAGCCAGGAACATGCACAGAACTAAACTGGACGTGCCTTTAAGTAAACTTCCCTCATTAACATAATAAAAATCACATCCACTCTCAAGTTACCATTTACAAAAACCATGACAGCCTCTGGACATTACCCTACAAGGTAACAAAACAAAAGAAAGACCCCAATTCCAAAATGTCTCCACCCATCTCAGAAAGATCATGAATACTCTATCCTCATTTTACCATAAGATTAGGGAACCAACATAAAAAGGGAAACTTCTTCAGCTCTGGGAACCAAAGACCAGGGAATACAAACTCAAGTCTGATAGTTATGTCACCCTGACCAATTTTTTTTTCTTTTTTAGGTATTTTGCAGATCATCTTTTGTTTTACATACACTTACTTTAGACAGAACCCATTAAAATTAGTTGATTAGGTTTGACTTCCTTAGATATAATGTTCTAATTTTAGCTTTGTGTGAACTGGATTAGATTTAGGGCGTTTTAAAAAATTCTTTCAGCAATCAAATATTGATAGATATTTCCTTGAGCTAATTTTCACTTATCGTTGATCTTATCCCATTATTTAATATAATACTTTCAATATTTCAGATCTTCATAGTCTCATTAATAACGTGAAACTTGGTTCGGCACATGTGGCTAAGGCACCAGCCATATACACCTAAAGTGGTGGGTTCGAATACAGCCAGGCCTGCCAAACAACAATGACGGCTACCAAAAAATAGCCATGAGCTATGCTGACTTCCCTCTAGCCTACACAACAGAGTAAGTCTCTGTATAAAAAAAAAAAAAATCAGCAAATGAGGGTAGCAGT